CTCACACACACAAAAACAATTAAAGCCTGATTAATAGTTGCAGTTGGCCAACATTTCGGGCTACCTTTCGCCAAGTTGCGGCCGAGTTTGTCTTCTGTCTGCATGCCCAGGCGTGCCCGCCCCCTGCCCCTCCCCCGCACATTACGGCCTTGTGAGTTATGACTTTTGCCACTGCTGCTGCCCAATCCTGCCAATGCTGCTCTGTTTAGCATACTTTTGTGCCCAGACATTTTTCTTTGCTTTTGTGTGTCCATAACCGCAGGCCTCTCGCATTTTCGCTTTGGACCCACGCGCATAAGTCAAATGTTTGTTAATTTCGCGGCGACGTTAACTACGCGCTCTTAACCCTTTAACCCGCGCCTCGCATAGTAGCGAGAGACATAACATAAATTCATTTGTATAATTTTGCAACCGCGCGCGCCGTTTGCACTCCGATATAAATCATTAAATTTTAATGCTTCCCAGGAGATCAATGAACATGACCGCAAATTATACCGAAGCGTGCTTTCAGGCGCATAAAGGATTTTTCCCAGCGTGCTTTATTTTCATTTTTTTTTAAACGCTTTTAAGCATTTTGTTTGATGTAGTAGAGCAGAGTGTACATATCCTGACATATACGAGTATGTGCAGATATATATGTGAGCCGTAAGCCACAAAGTGGTGTAGCTATATAGTTATGGGGGGTGTGGGTGTGTGTGTGTGTGTGGGCGGGAGGCTGCATTCGCCTGAACAGCAATGTGCGGCAACACTTTAAATGTGAAAATGGTCGTGATGAATAAAGGCAAAATGTAAATAATCTTTAGTCCTCAGTGCTGTAAATGAAATTGTTACAAGTGTAGTCCTTAAAGGTTTTCCTGCGAATATATAAGAACTGTAGAGAGGAATTAATATTTATTTCATTAAATATTTTATAAATGAAATTGTTACAAGTGTAGTCCTTAAAGGTTTTCCTGCGAATAGATAAGAACTGTAGAGAGGAATTAATATTTATTTTATTAATTTGTGCAAATATTATTATTTAAACGTTAAGCGCTTAATATCTTATATATTATACAATCGATTCCTAGTTTTTGACAAATTTTTACTATTATAGTCCTTTATAGTTCTTCTGGACCTATATAAGAACTATAGATAGAAAATATTAATTCTATCTATAAATACAAATAAAGAACTATAGATAGTAAACGTTAATTCTATCAATTGTTCTCTAATATCCTATTGGATAAGTGTATGGGTTTTAGGAAGTAGGAAGGAAGTATACTTCGCTATTCTCAATTATATTATTGATTTTGTGTCGTTATTTTAAGAATTATCATGGCATGTCAACTCTTCAGGAAGTTAACAATGCTATTTCTGTTCATGGACTTCCTAAGTTCAACTCTGTACCCGCATATACTTGTAAAACTATTATAAAAAAAATACTGTACAATTTTTCAATCAACTCAAAAAAGCAAATTAATACTTTAAGTTTATTAAGTTAAATTTGTTGTTAAATCAACTCCATAACCAATTTGTTAAAATAAGCTTTCTGCATATTTAGGTTTCAGGGCTTATAACTTTAAAGAAGAAACTAAGCAAACAAGCAACGAATATTTAATTTACAGTTCGCAAACTTAAGTTCTTGTTACTAAGGTAGTAGCTAAAAACTTTCCAAAGTTTGAGTTGCTTAATGAAAAAAGTGATTGCATACTATTAATGCTTAGCTGGAGAGGCTGTTGTTCTTAAATGCTTGCACTCATTACGCATACGCACCGCTGTACACAAAAAAAGCTGTTGGCAACAACAATTTGGAATTTTGCGCAACGCGTAAAAGTGAAAACAATTGTTAGGGTCATAAAAACGATAAGTCGCACGGGCCAATATGTACAAATGCTATTTTATTTGTTTGCGCGCATAAATAATCAAAAACACAGACAGACACACTGATAGATCCACAGACCGAATGAGCCGAACAGACAGACAACTTGGCAAACAAACGAAGCAAAATATGTGCATGTTTGTGCCAAAACAAAGCCGAGATAAAAACATTAAATAAAAGCATAAAATCATGAAGCAAAAAACAAGGCCAGACACGAAAGTTTAATGTTACTTTTATTCCTTTTCGATTTAACTGCAAATTCACAAGTTTTCCGATCTCAGGCATATTTGTGTACTCATATTCGTATAGGCGCTCTGGGCACGTAATGACTAGTGTACGTGTATGTATGTATGTGTGTACGACGCTGCGTTGCTGTTGTTGTTATGCCTTGATAATAATATTAATACACAAGCATGAGCACAATAGTTAGACATTTTGGCAGACAAAAGCGAGCGAGACAATTCCACACTTCACTGCACACAAAGCAAACAAATTTCCAGTGCGGCCAAACATACATGTTTGTGCACACTGCTGGTGATGACAATAGAAGCGGTTCCAAAAATGCCACACGGCGTAGAAAAGTGCAAAAATGTAGAATATTAAATAGAATTTAAAGTTAATATTATAAATACTTGGAAATGTATCATCATGCTGGACACGCTACTAAATCTTCACCCACCGGAGATTCCTTTTTTCATTTATCTGCAGTTTTCTTTAATTAACTATATAGGTAGTTTTTAATTTAAAAGGTTTATTTTGTAAATGGTAAATGTCAGAAGTCTATGAACGCTTCTGACTACAATTGGGTGTGAATCGAGGCATAGCTGACCAATTGGTAAATACAATTTCCCCATCGAGTTGTAGCTGCTTATTAGACATATTTCTAATTTGATAAGATTTTTCGTATTTAGCCTTTAGCTTATAAGGCGATATTTAAACATTGCTGTATTTTTAGAAATAAAATAAAATAAATAAATACAAATAAATACTTCAAATTTAAATTAGGTTAGAAAACTCTCTACGTTTTTACTGAGATTAAGCTATTATATCCTTTAAGAGATTAGATCTAATATTAATTTTAATTAAAACCCATACTATCTTTGTTTATATATGTTATTTTTTTACTTTAATTTACGAGCTGTAGGAACTTCGCTTAGATTTATTAATTGTAATTATATATCATTAATTTTAATAAACTTTCGTTTCCATTCAGTTGGTTAATTAATCTCCACAAGCGCAGAACAATTTGTATTCTGCATTCTAAAATACTTTGGAACTATTAAAGATTTTACTTATTTTATCTTTTAAAAAACATCGTAAGATGGATGGAGATAGTGAAGATATTTAACTGAACCGGAAGTGTTAACTCAATGATATTGCAATGCACATCAATGACTTTGTACAGTTTTATTTAAGCTTAATAGCAATGAGAGCAGTTCATACAAATAAATGTCTTCATTTGAGCAATGAACTAAACGGAATATCTTTCAAAATGATTATTAACGCTTGATTTGTTGTTTATTCTATTAGGTGTGTGTTTCATCAAACTTGAGTGAACGCCCAATAATTGAGTGTTTAGCGATTAATTAATGTACCCTCGAAGGGCTTAAGTATGAGCTATTTCGATATACTCATATACTTATACCTTTGGAAGCATGTCAAAGCATTCTAACACAACTGCACCTGACACACCCACTTCTCTGACATGCAAATTGCACAAATCCGCTCGTTATTTGCAATACATAGATAAAAATATGCAAACAATGCTTCGCTGCTTGCCTTGCCTTGCCTTGTCTTCGCCAGAACAATACAGATTGCTTGCCTTCCCCCACCTGCCTTACCTGCGAGTGTAGTCCCAGCAACAATCAAAGCAACAAAACAAAAGCACTCATCAGCAGAAATGCAATGAAAATTGGAAAATTTGCTGCTGTTTAGCAATGCAAACGAATGAAATACAAGAATAGAAAATGTTTTTCCAAGCAAAAATCAGAGCTCAAATACATGACAAGCCATGGCCTCGGCCTCGGCCTAGCGGCTTAGCATTTAACCGACGGGGGCTGTATTGTGGGTGTGGCAAGCAATTGACAATGCCTAAATAAGTGTGTATGCGAGTTGGTGCATTCCACCAGAGGCACTAGTGTGAAAAAAGAAGCCAACTTCTAGTAGATAGAGCTCCTCTCTGGCTGTGGGCGTTACGTCAAACGTACAAAAGGCGTTGAGAAGCGGAACCGGGCAAGTGAAAGGTCGAAACACACACACACACATACAGACACATGTAGGCTTTATGGTTTTGTGTTCTAAGGACGTGCACAAAAGTACGAATGTATCTCTCGAAAAATACATGAAAAGGGTGGAAGAAACAGGGATATATAAAAGTATGTATCGACATTCAAAATGTGTACATATATTCAATTGGTATTGTAGTATTGTATTATTTTAGAATGTTGAGCTTTAATTTAAATTGTCATTTATTTTTAATACAGCTTTCAGCGGTCAAAACAATTATTTCTTATTTAATGCAAACCTTTCTTTGGGGATAGTTCTCTTATTTTAGAAATGCAATTATTTTCTATCGAATGTTTACTTCAAATGCAGCTAATTCCTTAACTTACTAAAAGGCTATGTATAAAGGAAACTAAACACATTAAAATTATGATTAAAACATGAAAAAATTTACCCTTTATATCCCCATGCTACATATCTGTAAAATATAGTAAAAGCACACAGCTTTCGTCTAAAATTTACAATTTTTATAAAAGTTATTTAAAATTATTCACCAAATAGGTAGTTGTTGAAAATAGTAGTAAATTAGTATCTAATTTTCAGTATATTCTCCGAGCAACTATATCTTCAGTTGTTTTAGAAAAAAAAGAGTTTTTACAAAAATAACATAAATGGATAAATATTCTGCTATTAAACTATCGCTGCAAAAAAAAAATACCAAATAGGTAGTTGTTGAAAATAGTAGTAGATTAGTATCTAATTTTCAGTATATTCTCCGAGCAACTATATCTTCAGTTGTTTTAGAAAAAAGAGTTTTTACAAAAATAACATAAATGGATAAATATTCTGCCATTAAACTATCGCTGCAAAAAAAAAAAAAATACCGTTCGGTGTATCTCTTCCTTTTAATACAATAATATTTCATATTTATCATAGAATGCAATTATGTTTGCCTTTATTGCCAAAATCGGAATTTTATGTATTTAACAATGTTTGCAACTCGAAAATTTAATAACATATTAAAGCCTTGTCCTTATATTGTGAGAAAATCCATGCTCTTTCAAACTAGACATTACGAATGACTGGGTCTCCGTCTAGTTTTTTCAAATTTGGCAAACGCCGTATGGCTTCGGCGTTGAATACAGAAGAGTCCATGGACTCGTGGAGGGTGTTGCCTAGAAATGAAATCTCTGCAAGGTTCGGCGGTATAGCCATTCGCATGAACTCAACCCAGTCCTTGATCAAATTGTGGGAGACGTAGAAGACACGTAGTGCTTTCATTGATTCGATCGGCTTGATTTTCTCAATGATATTGTAGCTAACCCAAAGCTCTTCCAGAGTATCGGCCAGAGATTCAATGCCATTAATGGACTTGAGATTATTGCGTGCCAGACTAAGAACTCGCAAATTCTTCATGCTGCCAATACCACTAATTTTCTCAATCATATTGGAGGACAGACTGAGCTTGTTGCACTCAACCAACGTATTCAGTGTGGGATCCATTTTCTCAATGGGCGGATATTGGAACTGCAGTCCAATGTCCGTGGCCTTCACAGCCTCCTGCTTTGTGCGTTCCTCCCAGCGCGCGAGTGCATCCTTAATTGTTGTCGGCTTGGACATCCTGTGCCGCTGTTTGTTTTTTGTTCGTACCGAGATGCAAACAACTGATTTACAAATGTTGTTTCATGGGCAACCACAAAATCACAGCCTGCTACTGTCTTAGCGATTCGGAACGACAATAAAAGAGAAGTGTTTTAGATTATTGTACCAAGCTTTGCAGTGGACAGATATCTTCAATCCAGTTCCAAACATTCTTGCTGTAGGATCAGAAATAGCAGCTGAAGGTAGCTTATTAAAGGAAGCTCTTGAGATCTTGCGTTGTGTCTTTTTTTTTATAAATTGCCAAAGAAGTCTGACGGTGTCACAGACTTTTTAGAGATGTGTATCAGTTTTCGGTCTATAGTTTCCAAATAAGAATGAACAATTGAGTTAAAGATTACTTGGAGAATTCGTATTTTATTGTAGTTGTATTGTAGTTTTGAGACCATGTCGTTAGCTTTTTAAATAGAGTTGCGCTATTGAAGGGGAAGTTGTTGCCATTACCTGTTTTGACGGCACCCACAGAAGTATAAAAAAACTACAGAAAATGGATTGGCCGGAACTAAATAGTAATGATAATGATTATGCTGATTTTCAAATGTGTTGCATCTTATATTCCAACTTAATCATCGTTACCAAACCAAATGACAAAACAGCTTTCAAAACTAATGTTCTGCCTAAAGCAATTATAATAATGTTTGCACCAAAATTATTTATTCTGTTTCAAAATATTAATGGTTTTTATCAAAGATCTTAATCGGACCTCAACAATCAATTCTTATTTTCAACGAAGCTCATTTTTACAACCATTTTGAATTGTAATTTAGAAATTTTGATTTTTTCCCATTCTAGTTAAGAAATTTTCCAATCTATTTATATTCCCACATTACTATAAAACATTTTTAAGGAAGTTTTTCATTCGGTTGGCAATGAATTTGTTTCAAAGCTATATAGAAGAAAAGAATCAATTCTTCTTTTCAGTTTAGCTCATTCTTTCCACAATTCTTTCCAAGATTTAGAAATGTTTTGGTTAAAATATGAGTAGTTGCTATTATCATATAATTGGAATAGCTTTAGTTCCCTCCAGATACAAAAACACAATTTAATTTCTGCTTAATGATCAATTTTTATAGCTGTGGCCATAATTCTCTTCATATACTGATTGGTATGTACAAGTATGTACATGCGGGTATGTATGTACTCGTACATGGGAGTACATTCATTTGCTGCCGCTTAGTGCCTGTGCTCTGGGCTTGGCAGCTCCCCAAGCTGTCTGGGCCTGGCTGGCACACGTTGATAACTTCATTGGCATGGCCTTTGTTTGGCATAGGCACGCCATATGCCTTCGCATGTCTGCCTCGCTTTTTTATTTGGCTCAAATGTTTGCGCTTTGCTTTATAGAGTACTGTGCTGGTGCTTGTGTATGTGTGTGTGTGTGTGTGTTTTATGTCGCACCCTCGGGACTTTATTACACATATTTGAGGTGATAATACAGTCGCCTTCTGTTTGGGCCCTCGCTTGTCTGCCATTTGTCATTCGTCCCTTTTTTGTCGCCTTTATGTGCACATGACAATTTTTATATTTTTCGCAATTGGATAGAAATTTAAATTTGTGTGCATACTGAAAATATTTAAATGTTTGCATTTGTGTATGTGTGTTTGTGTGTGTGTGTGTGTGTGTGTGTGTGTGTGTGTGCAGCTGCTGCCAACTCATAGATATTCGAATTTTCACTAGCAAATATTTTTTCATAAATTAAGATTCATTGCATTTGAAATTTATTGCGTGTGCCGCAATAAAAAATTAGGATTTCATTCATATTGCAGTATGGACAGGTGGATAACTGTTCTTAAATCGGTCGACAAACTAGTAGTAGTATATTTGTGATTTCCTTTTGCATTTCAAAAATCATTAAATAAGAGATCAGTGTGTGTGTGCAGAATGCGAACAATTCATCATATTTTTAAAAATTTAATAAGGTTATAAGAAAGATAATGACAATATGCAGACAGATACCTCTTAGAGAAGTCTTACCCTGCTGCTCATTAACTTCGATATAGCTTTATATATTGGGCTGTCAGATTACATTTAAAAAAAAAAAAGATTACATTATGTTCATTATGTTTTTTTTAACCGACTAGGAAAAAGGTGGATTCGTCTGTATTTATTTTTTATAGGCGTCCAATCTATAATGCATTTAGTAAAGTATTATAATTATTTTTCGACCAGCAAGTTCGACTATCTACCTTTCTGTTTGCGTGAAGTTAAATAAGTCAATCATTTCTACACCCTTTTCAAAGCTTTTAGCAATTTATAATCGGAAATGTTATATCTAATAGCAGTTGTTGTTTCAAAACGCGTTGGTCATAAACGCGTTTTGTATATAGATATTATGTTATATAGTATTATTATTTTATTTATTTGATGCTTTCAAAAATGAAAAAACAGAGCTCTTTCCTTAGCAAAAAATAAAACAAACAGCAGTTTTGGGATATAAATACTTGAAGTGTAAGCTCGCTTTGCGCTAAAGATGTGTTGTGGATTAAGCTTATTCATATACTTTTGATTGATAATAGGAATATAGATAATAGAATTAGCAAATTTTTAACAACAACTGAAACTCTGCAGAAGGTATGAAATCGCAAAATTTGTTTTCGAGTCAGCAGCGCAGGCCAATATCCTGGAAAGTGGGTAGAGGTACTAGATCTACTGGAATGTATTCGCTACACCGCTAGCTAACAAAAAAGTTATCAACTGCATTTAAAAGAAATAGGCGATAGCTGAACATTAAATTAGTTGGATGTGCTGATGCTGAATATTTGGACTGGAAAGTTTAAGGATTACTCAAATACCATGGTATTCTGCGTATCTAATTACGTGCAACAAATCCTGAACGCACTCGAACAATTAAGTAGCTGGGCCCGCTGCTGGGAGGTACATGCGAGTACGACTAGGCGAGCAGGCCATATGGACACATGCATTATCACTCACATGGAACGAGCCCTGTGAGGTAACGGTAACGACTGACCGAACATGCCAGCCCTGCCGCCAACAACATACACACTGTCCGAATGCATATGTATAAGTATGTGTGTGTGCCACCCGAAAAGCCACAACATGTCCTGTCATGCAGCACAGCGGTAACATGCGGTAAATGTTACAGTTGTTGACAGCCATGTTTGTACTGTTTAGTTTCAGTTAACAAGCGGCCGAAGGGCACATACACACACACACACACACACAGACAGACTTTTCTGTATGTGTGCACAAAGAACAACAGAGAGTAGACTGATGGAGCATTAGAAGAGTGTGAAGGAGTCAAATAAGGATAAAGGGGAGAGCCAAACAATTGCGGCCAGTGCTTTGTCATATTCTATGGCGTTCAATTTGTTGTGTGAATGGATACAATACAGGTGTACACATAGTTGAGCTGATCTGCGCCGGTAAACACTCTAAGCACATCACTCGGCGGACATAAATGGCGCAACACTGCGCATACATTTTTCCGAGACACACAACTTGCCCTTCTTGCTGTTAAACATTTATGCAAAAATGTACAAAAGTGCGTATATTGCTTTAGGATGCAAAGTACTCTTAAAACATGATAAATGGTTGAATGAAAATTAAAATCACTCAAACAGTAAACTCTGATCGGCCACTGATTAAGAAATGGGCAAAAAGTGTAGAAAGTCACAGCAATTGTTTTATTTATGCCGTAGAAAGTAGTATAAAAAACTATGGGAAATTAATGATAAACAACATTTTACACAGACGATCTAAAAGCTATAAAAATGTAAATATTTAGGGAAATTCTAGATTTAAACTATTTGGAGGCACTTTAGAAAACGGTTTAGCCATCAACAGGCATGTATTTAAAATAAATACATAGTATTTCCAGGTAGGGGTCAGCATTTTGAATTCAATGATACTCTTCTGAAATGTGGTGCCAAAGCCAGAGGTTCTCTCTCACTATAGTAATATTATATATACATGTATTTCAATTATTTAATTAATTTAAATGGCAGTTTAATTCGAAGAATACATAATTTCTTTATTAGATTTGTAAGAATGCAAGTGCGTTATTACAGTTTTTTTGACTACAACATTATCTCATGTTTAAAAAGTACTTGCACGTATCCACAATGGTAGTATTTATTATTGAATTATTGTTTATTATACTAATTGTTCTTAAGCAACATGACAAGGCAAGTATTTCTAGATATAATCGTACATACTGTCTTCGTTAATACGAAAAGATTTTCGAAAATACAAGCTGTAGAGCCGCCAAACTTTGTTTGTTTTTCCTTACCCTACTTGACGTTTTCTATACACTCACCAGTCAACTGCTTTAGAGGTTTTATTATAGCTTCTGAAATTCCTAGTAATTTCGAAAGAATTTCGCATTCCCTTTTTTCCAATGCAGAAATTGTAATCTCTCTCGGCGGGCTGTCAGCAGCAGATGTTGCCAGAGTTGCGATTTAAAAGCATACGCGCTGTAAGGGTATGCATGATGTACTTATCTGAACACAAACAATTCTTAAACTTAACTTAATTAGTTACCAAACCATACAGGGTATATTAGAGTATAACGCCTGCAACTCTAGCATATTTAACTCCTTTTTGCAAAGCATTGTTGTAGCGTCTCATGGTCTTGGTGCTGGCTGGCACTAGCATTTATGTTTTATAACTTATTACGACTATAATTACCACTAAATTCCCAAAACGCACTGCGGACAACTGTCAACTGCAAAATCATTTGCGGCAGCCCTTGCGACTCTCCAGCAAAGTCTGACGATAGGCGACCACAAACAGTTATCCATATACTCGTACACACAGACACATGACACGAATAGTAGGACTATGGATATGGTGTGTGGCAATTGCTTCTGTTGCTGTCTGTTGTCGTTGTCGTTGTCATGTTGAAACACTCGTCAGTGGCCAGAGATGCAACATTCTGGCTATAAGGAATATTGAAATTTGTGTGTACATTTTCAGTAAAGTCTGCAAAGTGCCTCAAGTGTGCAAATAGTAATAGCAGTAAAGGA